AAAAATGAGGGAACCATTGAGACACTCACTCCGTGGAAGAACTCATCGGTTTTCTCGAGAACCGCTTCCCATTCCTTCAGCTCCATATAGTTCTTCTTGAGTTGTGCATCAGACTCGTTCATGTTTTGAACGTCTCTTTCAAGATCAGTGAGAGTCGTCTAAAGTCGATTTGATTACTTTTGGTTTTCAAGGTCTTGAGTCCTTAAAGCAACAACCCCAGATGAAATTGTTTGACTAACAGCTGTCGATAATGAAATTGTGGATGCCGAGTCGATTAAAAATGCGAAAAGAAACAAAGCAGACTGTCTATGAAGTCCTTAAACAAGGTCTCCCTCTCTGCCCCATTGAAATGAAGTAGGGGCGTGTGTGGACGAGTTATCTGCACTTGCTTGCTCCATGGCTCAATATGAATTAGCCGCTACGCTGCAATCTGTTACTTGTCATGAGGTACGCGCGAGATACCTCGTCCATTGGCTCACATAACTATCATTAGGTCCTTTTGTAAAGCTCTAGCGCCATTGTCGTGTCGTCGACTCGCGACAAGGACACAACAGTGATCTTCGCGGGATAGTCTATCCTACCCACGGAATTGATTGTTCCACACGACCTCGCCCGGGGTTTCTGCTTCAAAACACAAGACAAACCTCTAGCTGGTTCAACTCCGCTGTCGGCATCACACTGTAGTCACCTTGAACCAGCCTTCCAGCAATCGGGATCTCATCCTTAGTGATTTGCGACTCCAGAAACCCTACAAAGGGCTTTCGTAACTTTTCAACTTCTCGAAATTATGCTTTCAACCTCTCAGCACTTAATTAGCCTCGAAGTAACGCAATTTCTCCCTTGAATACTCACTGAGCTTTCTCTCCATCTCATCGTATCGTCGAATGTGTCGCACAAACGTTCTTTGGAAGGGGTTGACATCGGGATTCAACTGAAAGTCAAAAAATGAGCGATTGAAGCGAGGACGACAAAGAGCGTAATTTATTACATGAACTATACAAGGGCTATGATCGCCACCCAGAAAAGGCGGGGAAGTTAGATAAAATTATTGTATTCAATATACAATTGAATATTTAAATCATGTTGTTTTCAGCATTCAAAATCCTTTTATTATTTTATATATATATTATATTATTATTAATTAATTACTTTTA